CATTTGAATATGATTCTCAGAGTTCTTGGATTAGAAGCTGCCAGCCTGCTACAGAAGGTTACACGCTTAATATGCTCTCAAGTGTGAGAACGGAATTGTCAGGCTCTAAATTGTTTTTCTTTAGTGATTTTTTTAAAAAGAAAAATAGAGATGTTATCAAAAAATAGAGGACGAGATTACATCAAAATCTCTATAGCATAGCATTATAGGTTAAAAATTGAAGCATAAAACACAATACTAGTTATAAATTTAAATTATGTCTATATTAAATTTAAATAATTAAGTTAAAAAAAGTCATTTATAACTAAGAAATACTCTAATGATCGTTATATAAATATAACAGAGATATTAATGTAAAAAGTTGCTTTAACGATTGTCGTATAGGTATAATAAAACTATAATAAAAAAATAAAATAAAATAAACATTCACACATGCTAAACTACGTGGGAAGAGTAGGGATTTTTGACATAAACAATACCCAGCCGCTAAATATCGTCGTGAGAAAATTAATGGACTTAACCTCTTGTGAATTTTTAATTAAACAGAATATGCTTTTTCCTTATTTTTGTTTGTTCATAAATATCAATTCTAATCCACTTTCTGCATAATGTGATCATTAGCAGGGTGCCTGTTTGGGAAGAAAGGCCACAGATAAAGCCTACCCAGAGCCCCTGCACACAAGGAAGAAAGTGTAAATTAGAAAATTTAGAATGAAGACTGATGCCTTCAAAGACGGGGAAAAAAAGGGTTGTTTTCTGACCCTAGCATATAGCTTCAACCGAAATCCAAGAACAGCTGCAATAGGCATGCCGACCAAATAGAAAGTTCCTAAGTTAGCCAACACAGCCAAATGCTGCCACCCACATCCCCTGGCCACCCCTGCAACATATCATCAAAGTCATTTGTACAAGAAACCCCAATATACACCAATAAGGTCTTATAGTCTAGTGTCCAGAGGACATTGGTTATGAAAAAGAAAAGGAAACAGGTATGCAATACAATCTGAAATTTTTGTGCATTATAACCTGATAGGACACCCTGTATAGAATCAAGTGCAATTGAGATAGCGAGAAAGGGTGTCATGGACGCAAACTCCTTGATGATTGAAGAACTGTCACTGAAGCAACGGGCCCAGATATTATGGCCGAAGGCTAAGCTGAGGATAAATGCAAGTGCAAGAAGGACAGAGAGCTTGAGAGTCACACCGATGGCATTCTTAGCCCTCTCAGGATTTCCAGCACCCAACTCATTGGAAACCCTTGTGCTTTGAAAGTAAATTTCATTCTCTCAACATCCGAAATAGGGAAAAAGAAAGAAGAGAACTTTAGAGATTAATTATGTACTGTAACACTAACCTTGCTGCGGCACTAAGACCATAGGTGATCATGTAGGCAATGGTTTCTGTATTCGCGCTGCAAAAACCCGAAAGAGAAACAAGAATCCGCAAGATCAAGCTTGACAAACAACCAAAACAAATTTTAGGACAATTTAAGATGACAAGGCTTACCACGTTGCAATCAGTGACGTAGTTATCTCTGAATTAGGCATAATTCCTGCTAAGAATACAAGAAGCTCGGAAGCCCAGTACTCTAAACTGCCAAAAAAAAAAAAAAAAAAAAAAAAGGGGGTGAAAAATGAAGAAGAGATTGTAAGATTTATGAGTTTAATTTTAGGTAGAAAGCTTACAATGACCTTGTTGTTTAATTATTGAGAGTGAAAAGTTGGAAAGCTCACCAGACCATTGCTGCAGAGGACAGGGCTAGTCTCAAGTATGTAAGGATGAAACAGAACGACTCAAATGAGAATCCTTCCCATGTGTGCTTGAATTTCTTTGAATACATGACATAAATTGCTAACACAAGACATGATATCCACAACGAGATTGAAGCTGCCAATGGAGCTCCCTTGTAACCAAGACTTGTCCAATTAACCAACATGTACACAATGCCAAAATGAATCCCCATTGGAAGCACTGAGAGCAGGATGAGGGGCATTACTATGCTCTGTGTCTGAAGAAAACTCAAGATATTTTGCAAGAAACCGTAAGCAAATACACCAGGAATCAGAAACTTAATGTAGAGAGCAGCCATTTTACAAATTTGAGCATCCTGTTTAAGTAAGATGAGTATTGGCTCTGTGTAGAACCATAAGACGGATATGAGAACAGCAAAGAAGCAGGAAATGATGCAGGATACTTGGAGGTAAATTCCCAGCATTCTGTATAACTTCGCACCAAATCCTTGGCCACAAAGTGTCTCCAGTGCTCCACTTAATCCTGTCTAAAGTAAGAAGAAGGAACTTATAGATTATTTTCTTTGCTTCATAATAGCACTAATCCAATAACAGGTAAGTGGGTTATTCACTGAATCATGAGACAGTCAAACAACATACCAATCTCAAACTTAATGAATCAAAAATAATAAAGCAAAATTTTTTAAATGCTTTTGCTTGTCTTTTTTTTATTTTTTTTATTTTTATGATGAGAATAAATTTAAATTAACTTTTTATATTTTAAAACTAATTTTTTTCTTAGATAATTTTAAGGATACACCCTCGTATTTTTTTGATACATTTAAAAAAATTAATAATTCTTTTAAATATTAACTGTATAACTTGAATTTTAAATTTAATTTGAAAGACAATATTTACTTCTTATTAAATCTAACTTAGGGTTTATGCTTTGGGCTGTACTCGTTTAGTTGTTTTTCAAACATTATCACATGCATAGGCCCACTTCACTCTTGTCAATGTCCTTCAACCTACGAAGTCATGATTCCTCATTATAGAATTTCCTCATCTTCCACTCTCAAATTGTTGTATATTAAAAAAAACGGTTTTATATTAAAAAAGGAAAATTTTGATTTTCAATTTAGCCTGCATGTTAAACTCGGTTTAGATATCAAAATTATCGAAGTACTTTTAATTAACGAATTAACATGTAGTTTAAGTCAACTATTCTAGTAGCAGACTAGCAGGTATAACATATGATGTGTAAATGCCTCCATATAGGAAATGGGTTTAAAACTGGGTTTAACGAAGATTGAACAGCAGAGTTAGGATCGGCGAGCATAGTTAATAATTACCATGAAGGCAAAGCCGGTAGTGGTAGCCCAAGAATTGGCAAGGGTGGCTCCGGCAAGCTCAAGCTCCCCTAGGTGGCCGGCGAACATAACAGAAACCAACGTGATGGAATAGTAGAAAACATTAGTAAGGATCATGGGCAGTGAAAACAGAACTTGACTCTTCGCCTCTCCAACATCCAAAACATTCCCCCACCAACTTCCTCCTCCAAGACCGCTGCCACCGCTCGCCTTCAACAAGGGTTCTCCTGTCTCCGAAGTCGTGTCGGACGACATCACGATCACCTCTCTGTCCACCTTCTCCTTAACGAACAGCCTCCCCAAGAAAACACTAAACGGTGCCTTTAACCTGCGTAACGTAATTTATGAACTGGATAAGTATCCGGCCGCGGCTGCAGGACGGAAGGTCCGTAAGACACAGAATCTAAATATAAAAATTTTGGGTCCCTACTCCATCCTCTCTCTCTCATCATTCACTCTTTTGTTCCTTTCACTCAAACCTCCGTCCTATCTATTTCATCACTTACTACTTGCCCATTTCTCTCACCTCAAATTTCACATTGTAATTACCATTTGATCTCAAAAGTGGCACAATTAGTGCGCTTGCTGTTTCAGGTTTGTTTTGGAGGCATTGTGGTCTTTTTACCTTAAACACTCGGTCCCTAACATCCATCTTTCAGTATTTAACATCATATTTTTACTCTTCAATTTTCTTCTGTAACTTCCCTCCTGCATTAGATAGTGAGAGGCAAAATGCCTATTTACATATTAAACCATTCTTTCTTCTATTCTTTAGCTGGCAGTGTTTCGAACTTTCTCCTTTTCTGCTTTACACAGGTCATTCGTCATTGCTTCTTTCACCTTTTACTCATCCATTCTTTTCAGCTCTTCTTTTTTCTACTCTGCGTTTTTTCCTTTTCTCTCTCCTTTTTTCTACTGTTATGAAAAGAAGATTATGCAATGAAAAGGATATACTAGCTATTGTTAGTTATCATTTTCATTTCATTTGGTTTTTGTGCTTCGTAGAATTAGTGGACAGTTCATTTTACCTTTGTTTTTTTTTATTGTTTTTTAGTTTTAATTATGCACTATGTTTAGTGCTTTACTTTTAAAATTTTATTACTTGACTTAAATTTCCCAACACGCCGCATAGTGTGGTGCAGATTGCTAGCAAGATAAAATTTTTATGTCTCACAGTGAGCAACATGACACCCAGTGACGGTAAAAGGTTTTCCTTCTAGCCACCAAATGAGGCTTGGACACATATAAGAACATACCAAAGAATTCACATGTACCTTAACAAATGCGGAAAATATGTTTTAAATACATTGATTGATATTCTCAGAGTGAGCAACAAGGCACCCAGTGATGTTAAAAGGTTTTCCTTCTAGCCACAGAATGAGGCTTGGACACATATAAGAACATGCCAGCGAATTCACATGTCCCTTAACAAATGCGGAAAATATGTTTTTGAAAAAATACATTGATTGATATTCTCACTGTGAGCAACAAGACACCCAGTGATGTTAAGAGGTCGTCCTCTAGCCACCGAATGATGCTTGGAGACATATATATAAGAACATGCCAAAGAATTCACGTGTATCTAATTAACAAATGCGGAAAATATGTTTTTTTAAAAAATATATTGATTGATATATTATTTAATTTTTAATATAAAATTAAAAGAGATAAATTTTAAAAAATATATATATACACATAATATATAGAAATTAGTTAAATTAATTATATTTATATTATATTTTAATAAATAAATTAAATAAATATCAATAAATATGTGAAACTAGAGAGTGCAACAATCATTTTTTTTTAAATAAACAATATCAAAAGGAATATAATTGCCAATGATTGAGACCTCATTAGCAACATGTATTAATATATTTTTTATCAGGAACATTTGTTAAAGTTAGCAATTACATAATTATAATGTAATTTAAAATTATAAATTTAAAATTTTAATATATTATTAAATAAATTTATGTAATATATTATAAGTAAATTTTTAAATAAAAAATATAAATTTTAAGTTTTTAATTATGTGATATTATAATTGTATTATTTTTGTATTGATTTTTTTGAAAATTGGTAATGGAATTATTTTTGTATTGATAGGTAAATATTACAGTATAGAGCGGAGGGCAAGAAAATACATAACTACAATAGTAAAAAACAAAATGGTAGATGTGATGTGGCGAAAGCATCATCTAGATGTGATGTGGCGAAAGGGTCATTTAGCTCTACATGCACCTCAATTCCAAAAGTAACGATAAAATTTTAAAATAAATGACTTGTAGAATAAGCGATGTTATTAAATTAATTTGTCAGACCTCTTTAATCAATTAAATGCTTTAAAAAATATAAAACGTTAAATATCTTTTTGGTCCCTCTACTATAGGAAAAAGCTCTTTTTTGGTCATTGTACACAAAAAATCCCCTTTTTGATCCTTAAATTTTAAAATTCGGCTCCTTTTTAATCATTCCGTTAAAATTTTACTGACCTATCACGTTAATTAACGAAAACATCTCACATGACCATTTTAGAGTGTGATATGGTAATTTCAGAGTGTGATATGACAATTTCAGAGTGTGACATGGCTATTCCACAGTGTTAAAATGCTTCTGCGTGAAAAAAAAAAAGAACATGAAATTTGACTTGTGTGGAAAAGATTGATGAAATTATTTCATTATTTTTTATTTAAACAATATATAAATGACTTAAAAATTAGGTGGATAATTATAAATGACGTGGATAAAATTATAAATATATATAAGTACTTTATCTAAATATTTTGTCACTTATACAAATTAAAAATTTTATTCTATTAATTTATGAATTAAACATAATTAATTTTAATTTTTTCATCTTCTTCTTCCTCTTCTTCTTTCTCCTCATCCTTACCCTCATCTTCTTCTTTGGAATCATCTTCATCATCTTGGGTTCCTCGTGGAACCCAGTGCTGGGTTCACAAGGAATCCAGCACGAGGAACCCAGAGCTCCTCGTGGAACCCATTTGGGTTCCTCTCAAAACCCAACATTGGGTTCCACGGGAGAACTCAGCACTGGGTTCCGCGAGGGATGCAATGAACCCGATATGGGTTTTGCAATGAACCCAAACTTATCACCTGTAGTTTTAAACTCAAACATCAAACATGATATGGTTTTGCAATGAACCTGAACTTAACATCTCTAATTCAAAACTGAATATGAAAATTTATTTTCATTTTGGATAGATACACTTAAAATAAAAAAGAAAAAAAAATTAGAACCCAGCACTAGGCTCGCATGACCCCGTGGAACCCATATTGGGTTCATTGCATCCCCCGCGGAACCCAGTGGGTTCCACGAGGAGCTCTGGTTTCCTCACGAACCCAGTGCTGGGTTTCATGAGGAACCCAAATCTGGGTTCCTTGAACCCAGCACTAGGTTCCTCGTGCTGGGTTCCTTATGAACCCAGCACTGGGTTCCACAAGGAACCCAAAACGATGAAGATGATTCCGAAAAAGAAGAGGAGGGTAAGGATGAGGAGAAAGAAAAAGAGGAAGAAGATGATGAAAAAATTAAAATTAATTATGTTTAATTCATAAATTAATAAAATAAAAATTTTAATTTATACAAGTGACACAAAATATTCGAATAAAGTGCTTATATATATTTATAATTTTGTCCACATCATTTATAATTGTCCACGATTTTCATGTCATTTATAATATTGTTTAAAGAAAAAATAATGAAATAATTCTGTCAATCTTTTCCACATAGGTCAAATTCCATGTTCTTTTTTTTTTTTTTTAACGTGTAAGCATTTTAACGCTGTGAAATAACCATGTCACACTCTAAAATGGTCATGTGAGATGTTTTTGTTAATTAGCGTGACAGGTCAGCAAAATTTTAACGGAAGGACTAAAAAGGAGCCGGATTTTAAAATTTAGGGATCAAAAAGGAGATTTTTTCGGTGTAGGGTCTAAAAAGAAGCTTTTTCCTATAGTAGAGGGACCAAAAAGGGTATTTAACCAATATAAAATAAATGCATTCCGATATATGTCTGAAAAAAACAAGTGAACATAAAAATTAAGCAAAGTTTCTCATAAACCAACATTATTTTTATTTAAAAAACATAAGAAAACACAAATGAATTATTAATCTGAATAAAATAAATTAAATTCTTTTTAAATGTCTTTTTAAGTTTTTAAAATGAAAAAAGTGATATTAAGAGAGTTTTTCTTATGAAATTTTTCATAACTCAATTTTAAATTAGTTAAAATCAATATAATTTTTAAGTATTAAAGAGTTAGTATCAAAAAATATATATATATAAGGAAGCAAAAATATATTATTACTCTAATTTTTCTAATAAAAAATAAAAATTTATATTAAATAAAAAAAATTACAGTTGAATCTCCAAATCAGCGTCTGTAGCATAAAAAACAGAAGCATAACCTACAGTATTGCTGGGGACATTGCTGGTGCTAAAGAGGACGGAGATGTTCCTGGGGAACCTGAAGGTGCTAAGGATGATGTAGATGGAGGTTTGGCTACCGACGAATTAGAAGGGGACCCCACTATTGAGAAATCACAGCAACTGGAGTTGTCAAAGCATGAATCACGTGAGAAAAATAGCTCAGCAGATATGGAAACAATATCAGGAAATCAGGCTCAGCAATTATGGAAACAATCTCAAGAAGGCAGGGACAAATCATATTCAAAAGCAACGATCAAATAATGTGCCGTTGAGCTTCCTCAATGTCAGGCATAATTATAGCCTCAATCAACTTTTCTGTAAATATAAATACATCTCTTGTACACCAATGAATACAGTGAATACAAGTTCAGTATTCTGTCAATCTTTCTTTGCTTTTCTTCACCCACTGGTGCTGAAGATGACGTAGAAGGTGGTTTGGCCACAGGAGAATGAGATGCCTGCTGCTGGAAATGTTCCTGGGGTACCTGACGGTCCTGAAGAGTATGCAGACGGAGGTTTTCCCACCGGATAATGAGAAGAAGGGGACCCCACCGTCACTGTAGATGATGTTGAAGGTGGGGTCGCCCCATGGGAATGAGAAACAGGGAACACCCCTGGCGCTGAAAATACTCCCGGTGAACCTGACGGTCCTGGAGAGAATGTAGAGGGTGGTTTGGCCTCCGGAGCATGATAAACAGGGGAACCCACTGGAGCTGGAGATGTCTTAGAAGGTGGGTTTGCCCCAGGGGAATGTGAAACAGGGGACAACCCTGGCGCTGGAGATTTTGGATTTGGTGCAACAGGGGGTTTAGCTCCAGAACCTGGCGGTAACTTGGGAGATGCCGCGGGCGCTGACTCTCCCCTCTTCAAGTGCAAAACAACAACAATCAATTTCTGCCTCTGCTTACACCGGTCCTCTTTTCCACTGATGAAGTAGAAAGGTCCAGAACGATCCAATTTGAACAGAGAATTCCCATTGTCCATTTTTTGAATAGGATTCTTGGTCTAGCAGGTGTCGTAATCATCTTTGTTCTAACCGAGTCTGATCCTTTCTTATACTTGAAAACTACCAAAATCCGAATCAAGAACAGAAAATAGTAAAAACCCAAAACTAGAAGGAATCAAGAAAACAAAAAAAAAAAAATAATAATAATAATAAATATAGAATCTTTGGATTAATTATTTTTACTTATATTGTCATTGATGGGGAACTTGTTTCTTCCAGCCCATTGATTATAGTCCTTGAAGGATGCAAAACCTAGCCTTGTTTTCCACCCACGAAGAAATCAAATGCATGAGAGAAAGAGAGGAAAACAAGAAAAGAAAACTAAGAAAGGGGAGAGAAATCTGTGATAACTTTTCATTTTGATGATCGAGGAAAAGCCTAATGTTTCTTGGGGAAGGATATTAATCAGTTTCTAATACCATAGAGGGGGTTTTTGAAGAAGAATTTGGTTTTGGAAGAAGATTTTTATGGGATTTGATTGAGAGAAAGGGGTGAAGGGAAGGAAAGTATTTCTGGGAGGGAAAAAGGGGTTGCGTATCTTTCATTTATTATTATTTTTTTTTGGGTACAATATCTTTCATTTATTTTGTGCCTAATATCATGTCCATGAATGTGGCAGATCATCAGAAATTTGGGAAAATTCAATGCAAGGATGAGGTCGGTCTTCTTTGGAGACTCATGTCTTATGGGATGGAAGGTGATGGTGTTTTGATTTTAGAGAGCAATTCATTAAGGTCTGCCAACAATATAACTGGGCAGTGTTTGTTTTTTGCTTCTTTTTTTTTCTTTTTTTTTTT